AATTTCATCATTATTAAAGGACTCCTAAAATGTCATGATCGTGCAAAAATTTTTTTGCATGCATTCTAAACTTTTCCAAAACTCATAAATCGGAAAAAAAAATACCGGAAAATTATTGCACGCAAACAATAATGAAATACGTGCACGGTATATTTTTTCAAGTCAACCGAATCCCCAATTTGTCAAAAGACTGAAAAATCCGTAGATTTTTTAGTTTCGGTTCATAAATCGGCAAGAGAATACTTTTCGATCTTGCCTGAACTTTCCATTAGTCCTTAAAACCTTTATTGACCTCCACCAGGATCATGCGGCGGCATGACATCAGTATTCCGAGTCCAGGTTGACGAGTGCGACCGTCTGTGGGTGTTGGACTCAGGAACAGTGAACCTCACGGCGGATCCAAAGCAAATCTGTCCCCCAGCGATTTTTATCTTCGACCTGCGAACAGATCGTCTCCTACGCAGGTACCAAATACCCGAGGACCAAGTGAAACAGGACTCCCTCTGGTCGAACATAGTGGTGGACATCAGAGATGGCAATTGCAATTCAGCTCGTGCCTATCTCGCAGACGTCTGGCGTTTTGCAGTGATAGTCTATGATTTTTCAAATGACACATCCTTCAGGATCCAGCATCACTTCTTCCTGCCCGATCCTCTCTCCGCGAGATACGAACTCCATGGTATCCAGTTCCAGTGGATGGACGGAATCCTAGGACTTGCCCTGAGTCCTGTGGACATCAACAACGACAGAACCCTTTTTTTTCATCCGATGTCGAGCTTCAGGGAGTTTGCTGTCTCGACGGCTGTTCTCAATGACAAGGACACAGCTGAAACCAGTCCTGAGAGTTTTATGCCAGTGGGAAAACCCCGAGCTAAGGACTACGGTCACTCCTCGGGCTCTGCCATCGACAAGCATGGAGTCATGTTCATGAATATGGTCACCAGGGACTCTGTCTGGTGCTGGGACACCAGGAAGGAGTACATTCCTCAGAACCTGGGGGTCATCGGCGTCAGCAACGAGTCACTCATCTTTCCGAACGATCTCAGGGTCGATCACGAGGATCGACAGAGCTTCTGGACCATCTCGAATAGACTTCCCATGTACCTCTACGGCCCCTGGAACCCCAACGATATCAATTTCAGGTTTTCAACACTTTTTTCTTTACATTTTTTATCAAATATCACCGGAACTAAGGGCAAATACCGTTTTTTTATAAGAACATTTTTTCTAGCTTTCGATGAGTCCTACAAGAAAGGTTCTTATAAAAATTTTATTATATCCCTTCGCTTCGAAGGTATTCTCGGAAAACCAGAAAGACAGCTAAATTGACTCAACTCCTTTTATCACTTCACTCCGCAATTCAATTAAATTCAAT